TAGCGCTGCCCCTATAGGTGCGAGAGAGACAGAGCGACGACAGCGACTCTCGGAATCAGTCCGCTGAAGGAGGCCCTCGAGCCGCGCGTTGCGTGTGGTTGCGTGCGAGCAGTGCTCACAACGAGAACCGATTCCCATATCACAATAACTCTTTGCACACAAGGGTGGCGAACATGCTTCGTCTGCCGGTGGCGGCGTGGCCTTCTGTCTGAGGATGCTGCTACTTTTATACACACTAAATGTTTTTGTATACAAATTTTGTACGAGATATCCCCGTTTTATTGTGCTCACGAACTTTTCGTAATTTGTACGAAATTTTGCACAAAAAGGGGGAATTTGTGCAGTTTTCGTACGAAAATTGTACGAAAAGTTCGTGTGCACAAAAAACTGTGATGTCTCGTACAAAATTGTACATAACATTTAGTGTGTACATGCACGCGTTCGGGGCTCGGCACCGCCCGGCACCCAGTTCGGGACAGCCCCCCCCCCGCCCCGACGAGGAGCGGGGCGCTTCTGAAAAGCGTTTCAATGGGAATGGCGCGCACGTCCCACCGATACGCGCCAAGCTGCTCTGCTTTGAAATAAACACAGACACACGTATAAACACACACACACACACAGAGAGAGAGAGAGAGAGAGAGAGAGAGAGAGAGAGAGAGAGAGAGAGAGAGAGAGGGAGAGAGAGAGAGAGAGAAAAACACATGCACACACACATCAGGCTGCTGCTGCTTCATCATTCCCCCGGTCCAGCTCATTCCGACTGCCTTTTTGTTGGCGCTTCCCCTCGTTGGCTGGCATGTCCATTGCGAGCACACGGTGGCGAGAGAACTCTGCGCTGAGCGTACTGAGCTGAGTGCGTCGGATTTCCTCTTATTATTGTTTTTCCACCTCCACTGGCAGGTCACCATTTTTTCCATTTTCTCTCGCACTTGCGAACTCATTGAGTGCCGGTCGATCGGGGTGCTTGTTGTAACTTAGCGTTGTTACTTAGCGTGCAGTAATACTTGAAGTGAATATGCCCTTTCACCCGGTCCTTTCCGAAGGCTGCACCGCCGCCCCCGCACAGTGGGCCAGAAGACCAGTGGAGGCGGACAAAACTCTGGACGCGTTTTGAGCTCCAGAGTCGCTGAATGGGACTCGAACCGAACGTGGGATTGCTCTCCGAACGAGAAGTCCATTGGTGGGGTCACACCTTCGGTTCGAGACCTGTTTAGCGTCTCTGGAGCTCAAAACGCGTTTAGAGTTTTGGCCGCCTGCGCCGGTCTCCTGGCCCACTGTGCCCCGCCGCCGCCCCCCGCCTGGCACCCACGCGCCGCCCTGCCGCCCTGCCGCACGCCGTGGCCGCGCCGCGCGACGTGACAGCTCAGCGACCCAGCCACACGTGGGCAACGCAGCGTGAGGCACTGCCTGCCACTGCCTGCCACGTGGGGCGCGGGGAGCGCGGGCGTGACGCGCATAGCGCCAATCAGGATCAGGGCCCTGAAGGCCTCCATCCGGCCCGGCCGCGCCGACGACCAGCCAAGCGAAAGTAACGGCCGGCCTCGCCGTCGACACACTACTCCGTTTCCGAAGAAGGAACGCACGCCGAGGTGTGCTGCTATGCCATGCCGCGTCCGCGGGTCTTTTCGGCGTCGCATTGATTTCCGCTTTTCCGCTTTGTCGCTCTGTCTCTCTCGCACCTCCACGGCACACTCCATAGCGCGAGAGAGACAGAGCGAGGAGTGCGGTGGCGGCATCGTTCGACAGGCCGACGAAAGGTCGGAGGACACGCCTGTTCGAGAGACTTTGACATCCGGGACCTACGGGGACCCGTCCGGCGGTGCTGGGTGTCCGCCACTTGCAGGCCGGCTCGCGGAGGCGATGTACGCGGGGGTCACCGAGTCCGAGTCCCCCGCCTCCTCGGCGGGGAGCTTCCGCCCGGCGGCGGCGTGGCGACCGCGAGGGGACGGTACGGCAGCAGACTGATTCCGAGAGTCGTTTTCGTCGCTCTGTCTCTGCCGCACTCATGGGGCATCCCGTGTGGGTGCGAGAGAGACAGAGCGACGAAAACGACTCTCGGAATCAGTCTCTACGAAAGGTTCAGTTTGTCTTTTCCGTGGAGTATTGACTGACTGCCGCGACTGGCCAAGGAAGAAGCCAGATCGCTAAGCGAGCTGCTTCAGCCCGTCGTGCTCCTCCTCCGCACCTCCGGCATGCTGCCCGTCGACCAGGAAGGAAGGTACCCAGCAAACGCAAGAAAATGCGGCCTTTCGCGATGTTTGTGAGTTTGTTTACGCGTGGTTGTCGTAGGTTTCGCTGGGCGTCGTTCCGCACCGCGCACTGCCTCCTGGTGGCGGCCTTCCACGTTGCCGCCGCCGGCTACTACACCACCAACATTTTCGACCCCGACGAACCCCCCGCCGGCGGTAATCTGCAGACCGTCTGATTTCGAGAGCTTTCATCACCCTGTCTGTCGTCTCGCCCCGCGAGTGCGAGAGAAACAGAGGGATGGAAACGATTCTCGAAATTGGTCTAAAGGGTCCTGCAGAGGGAAATTCAGCCGCTTGCGGAGCGTTGCCGCTCTTTTTGACGGGCCCCCAAGTGATCACTACCCCTTCTCCTGGTGTCGGTCACTGGGCACAACCTCCTCTCTTGATGCAGCCTCCGCCTACATCGCGGTCATGTGCTACATGACGGCCGGCGTGCTGGTGCTGTCGTCGCAGCGCCCGGCCAAGCATTGGCGGGCGCTCTGCCGGCGCTACGACGTCGCCGTCGCGCAAATGCAGCCCCTGGCGCGGACGCCAGACCTGCGGCGTCGGCTGCGCATCATAAGCTACCTTTCTTTCAGCAACGTAGCCGGTAATTCGAACCGCCCTTCCCCTGGTTCCTTGGTTGCCTGGTTCCCTGATTGCCGCTGATTGCCTGGTTTGCCTGCTTGCCTGATTGCATGGTTGCCTGATTGCATGGTTGACTGGTTCCCTAATTGCCTGATTGCCTACCTGATTGCCTGGTTGCCTGGTTTCTGATGACACATCAGACACGCCATAAACACCGTTTCTTTCAACAACGTAGCCCGTAATTCGCTGTAATTTCAACCACTCTGCGCCCCTGTTTCCTAGGTTGCCTGGTTCCCTAGTTGCCTGATTGCCTGGATGCCGGATTGCGTGGTGGCCTGGTTGCCTGATTGCATGGTTGCCTGGTTCCCTAATTGACTGTTTGCCTGGTTCCCTGATTGCCTGTTTGCCTGGTTTCTGATGACCACAGCTTCTTCGGTTGGCAGTGAACGCGGCTTCCATAGTCCTGCCGCTCTTCGGCCGCCTCCTGGCCGACGACAAGTCCCTGCAGCTGCGGGACTCGTTCGACACCCTGGCGCTGGTGAGCATCGCGGGCGTGTACACCGCCGGCGACCTGCTCATCGTCGCCCTGAGCGAGGTCCTCACGCAGAACCTGCGCGCGTTCAACGCCCGCCTGCGGAAGGCCGTGCAGCAGGTGAGCTTGGAAGTTCACCTTAAAAATTGTACGTATAATTTTGTAGGAGACGTTACAATTTCTTGTAGAAACGAATTTTTCGTAGGATATTTGAATGAAAAACTATCCCCATCTCTGTGCAAAAAGTCACGAACAAATTTGAACGGAAAGCGCATCGGCAACTGAGACGTCTTAGTGGCCATTGAAGTACCACAGTGAGCTACGTTCACACTGCAAAGCCGGTGGTCAGTTTGCTTGCCACAAATTGGCAAGCCATTTTGAATGCCGAAAATTCGCAAGCTTGGCCCGAAAATACTTACGAAGAATTCCGACCAAAGCTTGCCCTACACTCCAAATCCAGGGTGTCTAGAAACTATACGCTTTAGGCGTATGCCACAGAAATGGAACTGCCTTCACTCCAAATCCAGTGGCAAGTTTCCTCGCCACTGGAGTGGCGTCTTTTCCAAAGCGCCAAGATTTGGCGTTCCCATCCCTGGTTTCCGGATTCCACGCCAAATTTTGGCGTTCCACAGAGAGCGCCAAAATTTGGCGTTCCATTCCCCAGAGCACCACAGACCAGAACGCCAAAATTTGGCGCTGCAAAAGAAATGGAATAATTTGGCTTGGAAAGCAATACCCGTTCACAGAAAAATAAATGTGCATACAATAGTTTTCAGTGCTTAGGATCCCTAGTTCAAATCACAGCAATTATACTATGAAAAGTAGAACTGGACCAGTAAAATACAAGACCTGCATCTGTATTTTCAGGTTACGTGTCAATGCCGCTGACCAACTATTGAATCACTTTGGTTTGGCCAGCGATTCCTGAGACACTGGGAAAATGGTACTCACATCAACACAAAACGCTGGATATCACTGAGTCACTCTCTCTCTTGATAAGGGGTTGACACAGCAAGGGGTCTCAGTCCATTCTCAAACCAGGAAGACTTGAGCTAGCCTCAGAGCCCTAGCCTGGCCCTGCCGCATCACGCCGCTCCCTCTTCAAAATCTTCCACAGAACAACACTTGAATAGTTTTGAAATGGCCCGAGAGCACTCAGGCCTTTCGAAAGTACTGCGACACGATAAAACATGACAGACATAGACTATCGTTGACCGTGGCGAACGAAATGCACACAAAAGTAACAATATGAATGTTTCGTTTGTCTAAGAGGAGTAGCCATGTTTACTGTTTTTATTGTTCAGCTTTTGTTGATTGCTTATGCGCACCAACCTGTTGAGTGCGAATAACATTGGAGTGCAAATAACATTTTGAGTGCGAATAACATGTTATTCGCACTGTCGAGTGCAAATAACATATCGAGTGCGAATAACATGTTATTGGCACTCAACAGGTTGGTGCGCATAAGCAATCAACAAAAGCTAAACAATAAATACAGTAAACATGGCTACTCCTCTTAGACAAACGAAACATTCAAATTGTTACTTTTGTGTGCATTTCGTTCGCCACGGTCAATGATAGTCTATGTCTGTCATGTTTTATCGTGTCGCAGTACTTTCGAAAGGCCTGAGTGCTCTCGGGCCATTTCAAAACTATTCAAGTGTTGTTCTGTGGAAGATTTAGAAGAGGGAGCGGCGTGATGCGGCAGGGCCAGGCTAGGGCTCTGAGGCTAGCTCAAGTCTTCCTGGTTTGAGAATGGACTGAGACCCCTTGCTGTGTCAACCCCTTATCAAGAGAGAGAGTGACTCAGTGATATCCAGCGTTTTGTGTTGATGTGAGTACCATTTTCCCAGTGTCTCAGGAATCGCTGGCCAAACCAAAGTGATTCAATAGTTGGTCAGCGGCATTGACACGTAACCTGAAAATACAGATGCAGGTCTTGTATTTTACTGGTCCAGTTCTACTTTTCATAGTATAATTGCTGTGATTTGAACTAGGGATCCTAAGCACTGAAAACTATTGTATGCACATTTATTTTTCTGTGAACGGGTATTGCTTTCCAAGCCAAATTATTCCATTTCTTTTGCAGCGCCAAATTTTGGCGTTCTGGTCTGTGGTGCTCTGGGGAATGGAACGCCAAATTTTGGCGCTCTCTGTGGAACGCCAAAATTTGGCGTGGAATCCGGAAACCAGGGATGGGAACGCCAAATCTTGGCGCTTTGGAAAAGACGCCACTCCAGTGGCGAGGAAACTTGCCACTGGATTTGGAGTGTTAAGGCGCCTTGATTCTACACGCCAAAGGCGTATACCCCATTGAGCACCTTTTGCAGATAGAAGTTAGCATGTGAGCACCATTGGTCGAGGAAAGGTGCGTGCATTGCACACACCCTGGATCATAGGCACTGAGCTCAACAGGACTCTAGGTGCGTTGAATGCAAACACCGCCCTTGGCCGAGGCCATGCCTACCGAGGCCTTAAAGGGTGTTTACATTCTACGCACCTTGAGTCCTGTTGAGCTCAGTGCCTATGATCCAGGGTGTGTACAATGCACGCACCTTTCCTTCGACCAATGGTGCTCACATGCTAACTTCTATCTGCAAAAGGTGCTCAATGGGGTATACGCCTTTGGCGTGTAGAATCAAGGCGCCTTAAGGCAGTTCCATTTCTGTGGCATACGCCTAAGGCGTATAGTTTCTAGACACCCTCACTGAGAATGAAAGAGTCACCACCATCGCCCTTTTATTGGGTAACGCACGCACCGTTGCCCAAATTTGGGTGACGAGCCCGCGGTGACCAAATTTTGGGCAGTCATAAAATCGTCGCCCAAATTTGGGTAACGCCGTCGGCGACGCCGTGAGGTCCCCGATGACGCTCTTCCGGGGCCACCACGATGACCCAATGTGGCGTTGAGGCCTCCGGTCATCGTGCTGGCCCCGGAAGGACGCCATCGGGAACCTCACAGCGTCGCCGACGGCGTTACCCAAATTTGGGCGACCAAACGCCTGTTACCAAATTTCGGGTGATGAATTTTTCGTCACCAAAATTTGGGCAACGAAGTTGCATCACCCATTTAAAGGGTGATGGTGGTGACCAATTCATTCTCAGTGCTGGATTTGGAGTGTATTTTGGCATTCAAAACTGCTTGCTAATTTTGTGGCAAGCAACCTTACCACCGGATTTGCAGTGCAGATCTTGGAAACGACAGCAGGTTTACAACAGTAACAAAGCACCCTGATCCAGCACGGCGACTCGAGACGCGGCCCTCGCTCGCGCAAAGCCACGCAGGAGTTTTGGGAAGACGCCCGGCTGACGTACGGGGTCCTCATCGACCTGGTTGCCTTTGTCGACGACAAGACCGGGGCGTTCGTTTTCATCAGCTTTTCCCAGAACGCCATTTACCTCTGCAACCTGTTACATTTGATGTTGGGGTGAGTGCACTCTAAAGGTCGTGGTGAAGATCCTTCATGTTATGGTGAAAATTCTCTATGTTTTGGAGGAGCTCCTGACTTCTTTACAACACACCTTCGAGAATTCAACGCGTCCTAATAGAATAATCCTAACTGCCAGGGTAGATCCAAGACAATCCTAACTGTCAGAGCAGATTCAAGACAATCGTGTCAATTCAGAACTATCCTTACTGAACATCAGCAGCGATCAGCGGTGTTTCCGCAAAGTCCGTGACGCCAACATACTTCACAAAATTACTCGCCGAAGGGCTTGTTACAAAGCGACGTATCCCAGCAGAACAGGCGTATCTGTGGAGCGACCGCAAGAAAAGGCGGATCTGTGGGAGGCCCAAGAAGAAGGGCGGATCTGTTTTTGATACCGCAAAAAAGGGCGGATCCAACTTTTTGGTCGATTTTGAGATTTTTGTTTAAAAATACGTTTCAGAAAGTAAGGATTATTTTGATAAAGTACTCAAAAAACCGACCAAAAAGTTGGATCCGCCCTTTCTTGTGGTATCAAAAACAGATCCGCCCTTCTTCTTGGGCCTCCAACAGATCCCCCTTTTCTTGCGGTCGCTCCACAGATACGCCTGTTCTGCTGGGATACGTCGAAAGTTTCATCCTTATATAAATACGAGGACATTTTATTTCAGATACATCGAGATTCTCCGATTTGCAGTGAAGATACTTCATTAGCACTTTTAGGTATAGCTCTGCAGTTAGGATAGTTCTAAATCTGTACTAACAGTAGGATTGTCTTGGATCTGCTCTGACAGTTAGGATTATTCTATTAGGACGCGTCCAATTGACGGCACTTTATGGATATTTTGACGAACTTTGCTTGTGCGTTATGTAAAAAGTCTCCAGTCTTCCACCCCAAGACACTTGGTGTGGCGGCATCATGTCCACAACCAAAACTTTCCACCAACGCTCTCCCGGGTTCGCTGAAGGGTTTCGCTGCTGTCACTCAGGTTTCGTCAGGTACGAGGAGCTGATGGACAACTCATAACTTTGGTCTCGGTGGCGGCAAGGATGATCATCGTGTCCTTTTGGACCACAAACGTCCACCAAGAATGGGTCGAATTAAAAATTGTGCTGTTCAGCGTTCCGGCGGAATGCTATTCTGACTCGGTAAAAACTCTCCCTTAGAACGGTTAACGTCCGACTGATGCCGCCCTGCAGTGTTTTGCTGAATCCCCTCCTCTGTCCTGCAGGTGTTTCGGTTTTGCACGCAGGTGTGCACCGACGAAGTCGCCCTGACCGGCTTCGGTATTTTCAAGCTCACTCGCCCGTTCATCATTTCGGTATGCAAAACCCCATGGACTAACCCTAACTATTACCATATTTGTGCATATATGTAAGTTATGTACAAGTTCGTACATAAATTTGGGTACAATCACTGGTAAAACTAAAGCGTAACTCTATTCTTGAGTCAAGCATGAAGTTGCACTTGAAGACGTTACGCTTGAAATGAAGCGTACTCTGGAAATTCTGCCATGCATTTAGATAGAGGGAATCTTGGCGGATGAGCCTGTTACTCTTGATTACAAGCGTATTCTGTTTACGCTTGAAAACAGAGGTTAATACTACGCTTTAGTTTTACCAGTGGTTTCGTAATTACTTAATCACAGTATGGAAATGCTGAATGCTGTCCCTAATTTACGTCTTACATTGTACCAGGTGGGTCACGGACCCCGTGAAAAATGGTTACTATGCAACCCGCTCGGAGCCATGCATCCGGGCTTGCCTATGCGGCAGTCGGCGGGCGAACGGGAGGACTAGGGGTGCCACCCGTCTTGCCCAGCCCCAGTTGTCGTTCCGCGGACACCTCGCAGCCTCCGTGAGGGCAGTCCGCCGCGGGTCTCGCGAGTCCTCTCGCGGACTTCGCGAGTCCTCTCACGGGTTTCGCGAGGGCAGGCCGCGAGGACACGGGACGCCCGCGAGGACTCGCGAAGCCCGCGGCAGGACTCGCGGAATCCGCGGACTGCCCTCGCGGCGGCCGCGCGGCCGCGAGGTGTCCGCGGAACGACAACTGGGGCTGGGCAAGACGGGTGGCACCCCTAGTCCTCCCGTTCGCCCGCCGACTGCCGCATAGGCAAGCCCGGATGCAGGGCTCCGAGCGGGTTGCATAGTAACCATTTCTCACGGGGTCCGTGACCCACCTGGTACATAGTTTAAATACGCTCAAGTATGTCAATTCACCAGGAAAACTAAAGCGTTAGTATTACCCTCTGTTTTCAAGCATAATCAGGTTACGCTTGAAATCAAGCGTGACAGGCTCATCCGTCAAGATTCCCCCTATCTAAATGCATGGGGGAATTAGAGTATGCTTCATTTCAAGCGTAACATCTTCAAGCGTACCTTCATGCTTGACTCAAGCATAGAGTTACGCTTTAGTTTTACCAGTGTAATTATCGAGGGGGTAAACACTTCACGAAATCGTGTACAGACTACTCGGTATTACGCTGTATTACGGGTGTATTACACGTGTATTACGGCCCTAAAATGCCAAGATTTGGCACATTTGACCCAAAAATGGTATTACGATCACGTGTATTACGCGTAATACACGGTTTTTGTGTACAGGGTATTACGCGAGTGGTTACCCCCTCGGTAATTATCGACAGTAAAAGTACGAAAACATTTAGTATGTGCAGGCAGCAAGTCAAACATCGTCAAGCGCTGCTGTCTTGCTTAAAAATTTTGTTTTTCGCGCAGGTTGTCAGCTTTGTTGTGACACTCGAAACGCTGTTCATGCAGGGAGACAGACATGAGGAACTCACCAGGGCTAGTCATGTCCAGACCTAAAAAGGGAATTTGTTCCATGGCAACTTTAAATTTTGAGTGAGGGTGAGACAGTCGCGTTTTATTGTTTTCCACGATGGAATCTCTCCGTAGCTGTGATGAAAATACAATAAAATAAGACGTTCTGTCATTGCACGATCATTGTGCGGCGTGGGTTTGGGTGGAGGCCGGAGCGCCTGCGGGCGGCAGGGCGGGCCGCACAGTGGGCCAGAAGACCGGCGCAGTGGCCAAAACTCTAGACGCGTTTTGAGCTCCAGAGTCGCTAAACAGGACTCGAAGCGAACGTGTGACCCCACCAATGGATTCCTCGTTCGGAGAGCAATCCATTGATGGGGTCACACAAACGTTTCGAGTGCTACCTAGTGACTCTGGAGCTCAAAACGCGTCTGGAGTTTTGGCCGCTGCGCCGGTCTTCTGGCCCACTGTGGGCCGCCCCGTTGCGCGGGCCTGCGCTGCGCGTTGCCTACCCTCCGATTCACAGGCGTTCCTTCCTCTGCGCAGCAAACAGTGGGCCAGAGGAACGGAGGAGGCGCGGCCGAAATTCTAGACGCGTTTTCAGCTCCAGAGTCGCTAAATGGGACTCAAACCGAACGTGTGACCCCACCAATGGATTGTTCTGCGAACGAGGAAACCATTGGTGGGGTCACACGCTCGATTCGAGTCTTAGTGCTCAAAAACGAGTCGAGAATTTTGGCCGCCTCCACCGGTCCTCTGGCCCACTGTGCGCAGCTTCGCTGTTATCATTATTACCTCACGTGCATTCCACCCGTCTAAAAAAAACTGAAAAACAATCACGGTGGCAGGAAAAGGAGCAAATAAAACCTAAAACAACGCAACCGCCTCTATGTTGTCTTTTTCGATCGCTTCCCTGTGGCATTCTTATTGTGTTCCCTTTGCCCTGGGGTGGCGTTTCCGACTTCCGTCCCGGTAAGAGGGTGCTGCGAGGCGTGGGGGGGGGGGGGGGGGGGGGGGGGGGGGGGGCAACCAGGCGACGCAGATGTGCTCTGTTTTTTTCTAGAGCCAGCGCGGCGCGCCTCCAGGCAGGCCGTCATCCATTGTGGATCATGCTCCTCGCCGGTGTCCCTGCTTCCTCCAGTCCGGCGCCGACCTCCTCCGACCCGCGGCTGCTTTCGCCGGCCTCACCACACTGCGACCCTCTCCAACCACCCGCAGCCTCCCAACGACCCTCCCAACCTTGGCGAACAGGTCCCCTGCCCTCCCTGACCCCTGCCCGCCCCTGCCGCCCCGGGGGCAAGGAGAAGGGGGGGGGACCACTCGCGTCTGCGGGTGGAGTAGCGCCGCGTGGAGTGGCCCCCCGCAGACAGTTCACATAAGTGGACGAAGTGCCAGACAACCGTTGGTGTCGGGGCCCGGCGAAGTTGTCGCTCGCGTTTGCCGCCCCCTTTTGTCTGCCAGTGTGCCCGCTGCAGGGCGCGGCGCGCACTCCGCACTCCGGCCGGCGGACTGACGGCGCCAATTTCTCGTGTGGCGTGCCGAGTCCTGCAGAGGAATCGCTGTATTTCAGCAGAGCAGACAGCGGCGCCCTTTTCGGACACGGACGTCGCGCACGGTACCTGTACTCTCTGCAGTAGTGGATCCAGTGGCACGCTAAACCAGGCTAAACAGGACGATTTGAACCCCCCTTGGCTTCAAGATATCCGCCGGGAAAGTATCCGAAAGGCCACACTTTGCTCCTGTAAGAAAGAAAAAGGTGCTACACGGTAGAGACGGTACCTGGTTTTCCCAGGCCTACAGCAGAGACATAGGCGATTTCCAGGGAGTTCCTGGGAAAACCAGGAACCCCGTGTACATTGCCCCTCGCAGGCGGTCCTCTGGCCCTCCTGGCACACTGTGTGGTGCTCTGTCTTCCTCTCACAGGGCGGACAGGCGGCTGGCGCCGTGGTGCCGGGCCGGCGGCATGAGGCACGCCGGGCTGCCGGTTGGGCTGCCTGCCCTCGGGCGCGGTTCGGTGGCGAGTGGCGATATCGCTCCGCCGCGCCGCTGCCGGTTGGGCTGCCTACCCTCGGGGCGCGTCGCGACGCCCGGCCAAGGTTCCGGCCAAGGCCGCGGACAGGCAGCGTCTCTCTCTCTCTCTCTCTCTCTCCTCTCTCTCTCTCTCTCTCTCTCTCTCTCTCTGTCTCTCTCTCCGAGAGAAATGTCCCGCCATGAATATCCCGGCTGAAATATTCTCGCGGGGCGCGGCCGGCGCGGCCACTCCAACGCCGCTGCCGGCGAGAGCTTTTACAACTCGCAGCTCTGCATGATTGAATAGACGGATTTTTTTTTCGGAAGGCCCGGGCAAACACAAAGTAAAGTTTGAACCGGGCTGAAAAGAGGAAAGCACACTCTACAAATCAAAGAGTGTACATAGTATGCTCTAACTGGAGCATGCCTGCAAGCACGCTCTAGCTAGCGCATGCCTGCCAAGCATGCACTAACTAGAGCATACATGCCATGTACACGCTTCCTGATGCAGAAAACTCCCTATCCCTTATGCAGTAAATGTATGCTTCAGTTAGCGTGTACATGGCATGTATGCACTAGTTAGTGCATGCCTGGCAGGCATGCGCTAGTTAGAGCGTGCTCGCAGGCATGCTCCAGTTAGAGCGTACCATGTACACTCTTTGATTTGTAGAGCACACAAAAAGAGAGTCCCAGCACGGCTTTATAAACAAGTTGATGAAAGTTGGCGTCATGATGCTGGCCGGGCTGATGGCGATCCGGCTAGGCCTGCCTCACAGTGGGCCGGAAGACCGGTGGCAGCGGTCAAAATTCCGGACGCGTTTTGAGCTCCAGAGTAGGTGAATGGGACTCGAATGGAACGTGTGACCCCATCAATGGATTGCTCTCCGAACGAGGAATCCATTGGTGGGGTCACACGTTCGATTCTGGTCCTGGAGCTCAATACGCGTTTAGAGTTTTGGCCGCCTGCGCCGGTCTTCTGGTCCACTGTGCTGCTGCTGCCCCTCCTCTCGCCGTCCAACTCGGACGCTAGCCCTTCCGCGCGGCGGTGCGGCGAACGCCCTCTGCGGCAACCTGCTGCTGCTCGAGGGCAACAAGTCCACCAGCTGGACTCAGTTCCCGAAGCCGCTCTGCCGGCTGGCGTGTGCTGGCGTGGCCGGGCCGCCGGACCCCGATCCTCGTACGGGCGGACGCGCAGTGGGCCAAAAGACCGGAGGAGGCGGCCAGAACTTTAGACGCGATTTGAGCTCCAGAGTCGCTAATTTGGACTCGAACCGAACGTGTGACCCCACCAATGGATTCCTCATTCGGAGAGCAATCCATTGGTGGGGTCACACGTTCTGTTCGAGTCCTATTTAGCGACTCTGGAGCTCAAAACGAGTCCAGAGTTTTGGCCGCCTCCACCGGTCTTCCGGCCCACTGTGGGACGCCTCAGACCGGAAGCCGAAAACTCGGTTTCGGGGAACAAGAACACGCAATTTCGGCGCGGTCTTGAAGGTTCGAACTAGGACCGCCGCCACGGACGCCGTGGCCTTCCTGACCCACTTCACTATAAATAGCCGCACTATTATCAGTGTGGGCCACCACCTTGCAGCGGCGACCGGTTGTATGACGCGCTGACGGCGCGTCGCGCGTCGCACGCTTCGATGCGTGACTGTGCCGACTGTACCGACTTTACCGGCGAGAGGCAACGACCGCGGCCGGCGCGGCGACAGATGTAATAATAAAAGTAAAAATTTGGCGGGCTGAAGGAAGAGGAATATAATGCGGGTGTGCCCCCTTGTTATTATCGAGGTGCTGCCTCGGCTTGCCGCCCCGCCGGGGGCTTTGAACCCCACCGGGGCGTGCCAGGACGTGGCATGGCGCACAGTGCCGTGCCGTGCCATGCGTCGTGACGTGTGGCATGCCTCCCGCGTCTCAGGGACACAATGCCGACCGAACGCTCCGAACATCTACGCCTTTTTGCTTCATTTTCATCGTGTTTTTTGTTTACAGAACATGTTTAAGTTGTTTTTGTTTGTCGGACAATTGAAATGTCTTGATGTTCGTTTTCTTGCGAAGCTAATTTGTATTAAGTATTGTTGCCAGTTTGTGTGTCGCAGAGGTCAGGGGGTCATAGTCCTCCCGCTCCCCCACACCAGACAGACGTTTGCAGGGCAGGCAAATTACAGAACATTCCACCTTCAAAAAATTCCACCTTAAAAAACGTGGCTTGACCCGGCTTGACCCCATTCCCATTTCCTTCAAAACTTCCGCGCACGCCGATACTGGTGTGCACTCATCTGAGCACACTCTGAAGAGTGTTCTGAACACACTGTCGAATTTGCTGAGCAATTGCTCTGTTTTTTTTCAGCCCCATTCTTTTCCCTCACCTTTCAGATTGCAGCGTTCGCACTGTTTAAAAAGCCGTACATTTCAAGGAAAAAGGTACGGCTAGACCGTACCTCACGGTGTACAGTACAACCGTACCCAAAAACCGTGCTTCCCATAGGAGCCCATGTTATGAAAAACCGTAATCCGTACCTCAAAAGCCGTACTGGCTGAGGTACGGTGCTACCAGGCGAATCGTCTACCAGACTGTGCCTGTACCTTTTCCCGTGGATTTTTTCTACAGTGCGGGATAAAAATGATTGAAAAAGAGATTTGGGGGCACGGGGACGAAGACGACGCGGCGCGGGACGTGCTCGAACGCCAACAAGACAACCAGGCCGTACAAATGAGCGCGCGCCGGAACCGCGCCGCGAGGCACTTCTCCTCATCGCTCAGCCAGCCGCGCTCCAGTGGGCTGATTCCGAGAGTCGTTTTCGTCGCTCTGTCTCTCTCGCACTCACGGGGCGTCCCGTCTGGGTGCGAGAGAGACAGAGCGACGACAACGGCTCTCGGAATCAGCCCGCACCGCAGCGCGCGGCTCCGGGTCGCGGCTTCGCGGCGGAAACAGATGGCGTCGCGGCGCGGCGCGGCTCTGGGCGACGCCGCTCGCTCCTCCGCCGCGGCAACGGATCGGCCCCGCGGCTCGCTGGATGCCTCATTGGGTGCATTCTGGAAAAACACGTCGGCGCGACGACGGTGGGAACGTTTTTTGAGGAGGGCCGCCGCAGTCCCACAGTGGGCCAGACGACCGTGTGGAGGCGGCCAAAATGCTAGACGCGTTTTTGAGCTCCAGCGTCGCTAAGACTCGAACCGAACGTGTGACCTCATCAATGGATTCCTCGTTCGAAGAGCAATCCATTGGTGGGGTCACACGTTCGGTTCGAGTCCCATTTGCCGTCTCCGGAGCTCAAAACGCGTCTAGAGTTTTGGCCGCCTCCACGGTCGTCTGGCCCACTGTGAGTCCTCCGCCTAGCGTCCCGTCGCCCTGCGCGATGGGATGGGCGGGCCGGGCCGCGCGTCGTATGTAAAGCAGCAGACTGATTCCGAGAGTCGCTTTCGTCGCTCTGTCTCTCTCGCACCTACGCGGGACGCCCGAAGAGTGCGAGGGAGGCAGAGCGACGAAAACGACTCTCGGAATCAGTGTGCCGCGCCTGACTGCGAATCAACGACTCCTAAAGAAAGGCACGCACCTCATCGGTTTTAGTCACCGGCGCGACTCCCGTTAGCGACCAGCAGACGGGCAGCGAGGGGGGGGGGGGGGAGTCGCGGTGGGAAAAAAATCACAGCGCATCGTCTGCATGCATATTTCCATGATGTGTTTCGGTTGGGCCTGGCCTGCTCATCAAGATGCATGCATTCTCGAGATAAATCAAAACTGAATCACTGGTATAGTTGGTTAGCTTGCCCACCGTCCAGGTGGATAGTTCAAGATAGCCCGGCGAAGAAGTTTGGTCGTTTCGGCCCAGCATCCGGCATCCGGCTGAGATACAGCGCGGTGTATCAACAGTCGTTAGCACACTTCTTTAGCTAGGCCGAACCCGGACCGCCGACAGTGGCTATCGTCGCTCTGTCTCTCTCGCACACCAACGAGGCGCTCCGTGAGTGCGAGAGAGACAGAGCGACGAGCACAGGCGCTGTTTAGAAGCACGCGACACGGCTGCGCTGTCATTCATGTGAGCAGACAGGTTCGCCCGTGCGTGCGGTGCACGGTGCACCACGCATGCACACTGCAGGCTGATTCCGAACCGAACGTGCCGTCGTCGCGCTGTCTCTCTCGCACTCCGTGACGTGTCGCGTGGCGGTGCGAGAGAGACAGCGACACAACACCGTCCCACAGTGGGCCAGAAGACCGTGAAGTCGGCCAAAACTTTAGACGCGTTTTGATCTCCAGCGTCGCTAAACAGGCCTCGAACCGAACGTGTGACCCCACCAATGGATTCCTCGTTCGGAGAGCAATCCATTGGTGGGGTCACACGTTCGGTTCGAGTCCCATTTACCGTCTCTGGAGCTCGAAACGCGTCCAGAGTTTTGTCCGCCTCCACGGTCGTCTGGCCCACTGTGCGTCCCACGGGATGGTACTTCCCCGCGGTGACGCCGCGGCGCGTCACACAACCAGAAATCCCGCGTGCCAAGTCCAGCAGGAGTCCTGGAGACGCGCGGAGTCATCAACATACGGCGGGAATTGTAAAACTGCTCCGGGCACGCCGGTCTTTATCCTTTGTTTAAAAGCTGGCCACGGCGGGTGCAGACTCATTGCGAACACTGCTTCGTCACTGTCCTATCTCTCTCTCTCTCTCTCTCTCTCTCTCTCTCTCTCTCTCTCTCTCTCTCTCTCTCTCGCACTCCATCAGCCCAACGGACTAGGCCGTCAGTGTGAGAGAGACGGAACGACAAAGCAGTGCCGGCTCCGCGTTCCCACGCCAAGAGCGGCGCGTGCGGCGTGCGCGGCGGCGTGTCGCCATGCTTATTTTGGGAACATCTCCGTCGGCGAATCATCGCGCAGCAGCGGCCAGTGGAGGAGACCCTCTTCACTGGCCGGCAAGGCGTGCGGTGGGGTGGGCGGGGCGCGCGGCCCCGGCCCTGGGCTACCCTGGGCCCGGCTGCAGACTGATTCCGAGAGTCGTTTTCGTCGCTCTGTCTCTATCGCACTCATGGGGCAACCCGTAAGGTGCAAGAGAGACAGAGCGACGAAAATGACTCTCGGAATCAGTCTTATGGTGGAGCTACGCAACGTGTGCGTTCACGAAACGTCGTGAGTGGGTACGGGAAGGTAACACAAGCGCTGGCCTGTCTCTGTTGCCACTGCAGGAGCCAGTCTTCCCTGCAGACTGATTCCGAGAGTCGGTCTCATTGCTCTGTCTCACTAGCACCTTTAGAGGACGTCCAAGGAGCGCGAGGGGAGACAGAGCGACGAAAGCGATTCTTGGAATCAGTCTGCTCGATTGTGATAGGTGAAGCTGGCTCGGACGGCTCGGCTGCAAGCCGAACTAGAGTCCTTAAACTACTATCCCTGGGCCGAACCGGCGCCGCTATCATTGGCTATGCGACGCATCGGGGGCAAACTGGGTAAAACCCAGGCGTCGGAACGGACGCTGAAATCATCGGGTTGAAACGGGTTGGGTCGAACCACCGGCGGCGGTCGAGTTCCAGTAGTACACCAGCGCTAGGGAAACGGGTTGAATGGTTGAAAGTTTGAAGCTGAACCCAGCCCAGCCGTTTACGCCTGGACTCCTCGCTGTGCCCGCGTATCGTAACGGCTCCGTGAGTCAGCAAGGTTTGCCGGCGAGGCCGCCGTACGCGTGCCGTACGCGTGCCGCGCTGAAAGAAGACGCGATTCACCGCTACTCTACCCACACAAAAAATACGACAGCAGAAAACTTCGCCCTTACTAAGCAGGCGGGTATTCAGCTTGAAAAACCCGCAGATGCCCCCAGTGCAGGCGCGTGAGAGCACCTGTCGTAGCAAATCCAGTAGTGTAGCCAGAGCGGACGTTAGCGTTAGGCGCAACAATTTTACCACCCCGGGCGGTGTGTTTTGTAGCCGCGCGTAAAGCTGTTTGTCGTTCGCGCTGCCAGCGAAGCCGAAGACCCCCAGGGCCACGGTCCAAACAGGAGGTGTCTCTCTCGCACTCACGGGGTGTGCCTGTGGGTGCGAGAGAGACAGAGCGACGAAGACGACTCCCGGAATCAGTCTGCTGTCCCCACAGTGCGGTGGGGATTCTCCAGGGACCCACTGGACTGGACCCGCCCAACCCAATCATCATCCGATCCAGCGGCGGGAGGCAAGGGGGTTCAAGGTGGGCGCGGCCGGCCAGCCGATTAGTGTCGACCGATCCGAGAGTCGTTTTCGTCGCTCTGTCTCTCTCGCACTCATGGAGCGTCCCATTTAGGTGCGAATGAGACAGAGCGACGAAAACGACTCTCGGAATCAGCCTGCTGGTGGGCCCGCCGTCATAAAGGTGCAACCCGAATGAGTTTCCGCGCCCCGCCGCCGCGCCGGGTTGATGCACCTGGACGGGGAAGGCGGCGGGGAGAGAGAGGGGGAGGGGAGGGGAGAGGCCGGTGGGGAAGGACCCGCTGGTGGGGGCCGCTCGACCACGCGCGGCGCGGCGTGGCGTGCTGAACCCCGTCGTGGCGCGCCGGGATCTTGGCATTGAAACTGCGTATCGGTTCGGTCGCAAAGCGTAGCGAAGCGCTGCGGGGAAGGTGAGGGGCACGGCGTGGCGTGGCGTGGCGTGGCTCGGCGTGGCTCGGCGTGGCTCGGCGGGGCGGAGCGGACCGACGCCGTCCCCGGCACTGTCCTGATGCCGGCAGTGGCGACCGCGTGGACCCACGAGTGGAGTGGTGCCCATACCCGAGTCCGGCCATACCCGGTGCGCTCCGGCCCCCTTGTGTTGTGCGTGGCGCTCGACGAGGAGGTCCACGAGGAGGTCCACGAGGAGGTCCACGAGGAGGTCCACGAGGAGGTCCACGAGGAGGTTCACGAGGAGGTCCACGAGGAGGTCCACGAGGAGGTCCACGAGGAGGTCCACGAGGAGGTCCACGAGGAGGTCCACGAGGAGGTCCACGAGGAGGTCCACGAGGAGGTCCACGAGGAGGTCCACGAGGAGGTCCACGAGGAGGTCCACGAGGAGGTCCACGAGGAGGTCCACGAGGAGGTCCACGAGGAGGTCCACGAGGAGGTCCACGAGGAGGTCCACGAGGAGGTCCACGAGGAGGTCCGCAGAGCCCCACGGAGCCCCAGCGACGACCGCCCACCGCGGCCAGTGCGGTGACACGCAGTGACTTGCAGTGCAGTGACGCAGTGACCAGTGCTGTGCTACCATTCATAGTGCACTTTTAGAGTGGCGTCGGGCTGCTGGAAGCAAGCAAGACGTGTTGTTGACCGTGTCGCAGCATCTCCCAGCCATGCCGTCTCCACGTGCATTCGCCATGTAAGTCTTTGGTGTTATCACCTCATCTCTTCATTTTTTGCCCCCCTCTTATGCCGACCCAAAAGAGATTCTGTTCTGTGCGGTAAGCTCCGCGCTAAAAATCAAAAATCAAATTTCAACTCAAAGTTATTGAGTTTATGTTTTATTTTATGGCTCGCGTTCCAGGCCAGAAATTTTTTCTTGCGTCATATTGATAAAGAACTTTAGTGTGCACATTTTGCAGTCCAAATTTCCAAAACGTTTTTTAAGAAACTTAACCGAGATTTTTTTTATTGTTTTCCTTCAAAATTTAATCCTTTTTTATGCTTAGGTTTTATTTTTGTGAGTGCCAAACGCTAAAAAAATGAAACAGTATAATTTTTAAAAAGTTTCCTCTTTAACACGCAACATATATTTGTTTAGCGTGTAGGCAGTCAACACGACGCAATTATATTCACGCAGCAAAATCGCTTCTGACCAGTAGTGAGTGCCTTATAATGGAAGCAAACCATTACCTGCCGTACCGCCGGTTCGGTTCGGTCTATCCACGCGCCAAACTTCCACTCCAGCTAGTACAGTACAGCACACAGAACGCACCGGCTCGAATCATTGGCCATGGCTATGCCTGACCCTGCTCAACCCTGCTGCGCGCGTCCCTGTCTGCTCGCTCGCGGGGGGTAACGCGGAAAAAAATAATCGAGCAATAATGGATTTCTCATTGAACGCGCGCACGCAGGCGCACGCAAAGTTCAATGACGTTTCTTTTTGCGAGGGACGCGGGTCGCGACGCGTGAATCACTGATTCGCGCAATTGGCGTAATGGCGGACTGATTATCCCCGAGGGTCCTGGCGGCTCGTCTCCTGAAGACTGATTCCGAGAGTCGTCTTCGTCGCTCCGTCCCTCTCGGACTTTTACGGGACGCCTCATGAGTGCGAGAGAGACAGAAAACGACTCTCGGAATGAGTGTGCTGGCTGGCGGCGGGTGCGGCGCGGGAACCTGTTGACCCTCACGAGCTCCACGAGCTCCACGATCTACACGTTCTCGGTGCGGCACACGCCGCGTCTTCCGCGTCTTCCGGCACGGCCGTGCACCCCGAGACCGTTGATCCGCACAGTGGGCCAGAAGACCGGCGCAGCGGCCAAAACTCCTGACGCGTTTTGAGCTGCAGAGTCGCAAAACAGGACTCGAAGCGAACGTGTGACCCCACGAATGGATTCCTCGTTCGGAGAGCAATCCATTGGTGGGGTCACACGAACGTGTCGAGTCCTATTTAGCGACTCTGGAGCTCAAAACGCGTCAGGAGTTTTTGCCGCTGCGCCGGACTTCTGGCCCACTGTGATCCGCTTCGCTTGCTCCGCCGCCACCGCCGCTGACTGATTCCGAGAGTCGTTCTCGTCGCTCTGTCTCTCTCGCACCTACACGGGACGCACCATGAGTGCGAGAGAGACGGAGCGAAGAAAACGACGCTTAGAATCAGTCTGCTGGGGCGTTACGTGGTTCAGGGACTCCACGGCGGCGCCGCGGCGCGGCCTTGACCGCGTCCTTGCCAAGGTCGCGGCCCCTCGTCACCTTCACTGCCAATTAGGCTAGCGGGAACCAGGCGGGAACCAACCTGCCTAGAACGGGAGCGTCCTTGGCGGGGCGTCGGCGGCGCGGCCGGCGGCTGGGGGCTGCGTCGCACCGCCGCCACCGCCGACGCGGAGGCAGCCCTGGTTTCCGTTTAGCACCGTCGGCGGCCAGGTGCTGAAAAAGCCGACGCCTTCTTCGGAGTCTGCAGACCGATTCCGAGAGTCGTTTTCGTCGCTGTCTCTCTCCCACCTTCACGAGTCGCCCCACGAGCGCGAGAGAGACAGAGCGACGAAACCGATTCCCTCGGACTCAGCCTGTTGGCACGCGCCTGTTGTTTCTTTTTCGTTTGCACCTTCCCTGCTGCTCGAATCTGGACAGAAATTTAGCCGATGTAGACGCGAGATAGCTGGCGGTCTCCCGGACTCTGGAATAACAAGAAGGCGGTGCGTGGAGCGGCGCGGAACGTGAGGCGAATTTGCAGTGCCGTAGAGGGAAGCACCTCCGCGGAGGGAAGCGCCGCCCAGCTCAATTTGTCTGCTCTGGAAACTTGAAGCGGCGTCCAGGGCGGCCTTCTCGGCAGACTGATTCCAAGAGTCGTTTTCGTTGCTCTGTCTCTCTCGCACTCATGGGGCGTCCCGTATAGGTGCGAGAGAGACAGAGCGCTCGGAATCGGTCTGCAGCCTCCTCGCCGACGATGATGAACGCGGCCGCCGAATTATTGAAGACCGCCGCTGCGCCGGCCGTGACTGTGACCGCCGGGTGCGTGCCGCCACCAGGCTGCCGCGCCAGTCCACGCGAAGGACCGGTTCGCGCGTGGCGTGGCTTGGCGCGGCGTGGCGTGGCGTGGCGTGGCGCGGCGTGGCGTGGCGTGGTTTGCAGTGAGTGCGTGGCGACGCCTGGCCGGCTGGCTAGCCTTGACAAGTGCACTGACCAGGCTCACGCCGCCGTCTTCCTGAGTTCCTTCTTTCCCCGCCTGCATCCGTCGCGTCACCGGGTCGGCCGGGTCGCGCGGCACCGCCCCCTTACAGTGTGCCGACCGCCGGCTTGGATGCCGTCGCACAGTAGGCCAGAAGTCCGGTGGAGGAGGTCTGGGATTTGAGGTCCAGAGTCGCTGAATGGGACCCCAACCGAACGTGTGACCCCTCCAATGGATCGCTCTGCGAACGAGGAATCCATTGGTGGGGTCACACGCTCGGTTCGAGTGTTGTGTAGCGCCTCTGGAGCTCAAAACGCGTCTAGAGTTTTGGTCGACGGCGTCGGTCTCTGGGCCACTGTGCAGCGGCCAGGAACGGGCGGTCCGCCAGTGTGCCGGTCCGCGACGTTGTGTCGCCTTGCATATTTCATCGCATAGCCCGGCGGCGGAATTTGGAGCCGCCGCTTTTCCGCGCACGGCTTCGATGAATTATGCTCAGTACCTCCCTCTCTGTCGCACAGTGGGCCAGAAGACCGGTGGGGGCGGCCAAAATTCAGGACGCGTTTTGAGCTCCAGAGTCGCTAAATGGAGCTCAACCAAACGTGTGACCCCCAACCAGCAACCAGGATGTGTCTTCCAAAAAGTAAATCCATCGGTGGGGTCACACGTTCGGTTCGAGACCCATGTAGCGAGTCTGGTCTGGAGCTCGAAACCCGTCTCAGAAGACAGCTCCGGGACTTGGGGACTTTTTCGCGGAGCAAATGTTTTGAGGCATGTGGGAAAAGGCGTTTCAAGAGGTGCTGCTCAATCAAACCTCCCGACCGATGCCACCGCTGGAGTGGTTTACATAACCGATCGAATCAGCTCAACTTGACTTCTTCTCGCCTTGCTCCGTGAATCATGTTTCAGCCTGAACCCAAGTGAAAAACGACGTGTGCTCTCTCCCCCTCTCCTTCTCGGGCGCCCGAATATCACAGCAAGTACCAGCTGCCGCGGGACAGGCTAAAGCGGTCGAGAGAGGAGCACCGAAAAAAAATCGACAAAGTCGCCCCTCCTCGGCCATTACTTCGTGAACAGATTCGCCAGCTCCCTTCCTCTTTTTTTATTCTTTTCACATCGGTGACATGAGCGACGCGATCACCGGGAAAAGAAGCAAACTTTTCCCGTCGAACAAACTTGAAGAAACACGAAAACAAGTTTTGAGGCAATGCATCCCCGTCCCTGCACGGACGGGACGGGCGGGCCGAGGGATAAAGGGGATGCGGGGAATCAACGCACTGCCGCCGAATCCCGGAGGGTCGCCTCGTCGCTCTGTCTCTCTCGCACCCCCACGGGACGCCGCTTGCGTGCGAGAGAGACAGAGCGGCGCGACGATGCTCCGGAACCAGGCGGCTGGTGAACTTGTTATCAAGATACGGGAGGCTTGACGCCCGGCAGCCGTGCCGTCCGGGGAGTACGCGGCCCGCCTTAGCCCGCCCGGCCCCGCAACCCGCCGTGGCTCCGCAGCGCCCATCACACAGATACGGTAAAGTCGCAAACTAATCTCGTTGGACGAGAAATTTTAATCCCACCTAAGTTGTTGAGCCGGGGAGGAAGAAGGAGGGGGGGGGGCGTAGAGCCCGTGAGGGCAAAAAGGGAGCCGGCTCGCTGGATGGCTGGCTGGATCGACAACACCCACGTCCTTTGTCATTGGAAAGGCGGCCCGGGGCGAGAGGGGGCGGGGAGGGCCTCTCGTTCCTGGAGAGCGGACCCCGCCATCGTTTTTCCCTCTTCTTACCCGGGGCTCTGCAGCGGACCGATTTTGTCGCTCTGTCTCTCTCGCATCTGCACGGGACGCCCCATGAGTGCGAAAGAGACGGAGCGACGAAAACGACTCTCGGAATCAGTCTGCAGGCCTCGCGGCCCCCAGCGGCTCCGGCGCCCCGGAGAAGAGGGCGGTACAGGAGATCAGGCAAGAGAGTGGTCTTCGGATAACGGATGAGCGCCATCACTCAGACGCGCGATCAAAATCAACCCCAATGCTCGCCCGCCCCGCCGCCCCCTCCCCCTGCCCTGCTTCCCCCTTCCCCCTTCCGCCACACTCCTTCAGTTTCCAGAATATTCGCTTCTTGTCGCGTTGTCTGCTGAGCCGTGGGTGGGGAGCAGCTGCACAGTGGGCCAGGGGTCCCCTGGCTGCGGCGGTCAAAATCCCGGACGTTTTTTGAGCTCCAGAATTGCTAAAAATGACTCAAAGCGAACGTGACCCCACCCATGGATTCCTCGTTTGGAGAACAATCCATAGGTGGGGTAGTAACTCTTTCGGTTCAGGTCCTATTTAGTGACTCTGCGCGGAGCTCAAAACGCGTCGGGATTTCGACCGCCGCCACTGGTCTTCTGCACCACTGTGCGCTGCAGAGCCTGCGATCGGGTGGGTAAGGCGGCCGAGCGCTACCCGGCCGGCCTGGCACTCTTTGACTTGCTCACCCGGCCACAGCCGGCCCATACCCAGACCCAGACCCACCCGCTGTTGAGGTGACCGGGTAACGCGCTACCCACCA